AGAGAGGATTGTTTGGGTTTATCTTGTAAAGGGGTGAGATTTGAAAGAAATAATCATCTTCTTGTAAAAGGATTCAATGGCTCCCTTAAGTCACCCTTGTTATTGATAGTGAAGAGTGTGGAGGAAATCCTTGGTAAGTGAAGGCAAAGTAGAGGATTAGATTTCAAGTAATTGGATCAAATCTTTATAAAATCATTAAGTAAGCTCTTTTTCCTTACTCTCTTTAATTCTTTGTTTTGTGGTTGCAAAAAGGAGAAAATTTTTGAACTTTAATTCACATTTCTCTTGAAGTGCATTGAGTCAACACATATAATATGATATATTTTTATTAAATTAAAAATATTAATTATTAAATAATACATAATATTATATTTAAAAAATATATAAAAATATTATCTTTTTAATTATTTTTTGAGCATGAAAATGCACTGCCCTCGAGATTGACATCGACTGTCACATTAAGCATGGATCATTTTTTCATTTTTATTGAGGGCTAACCATAAATTATATTTATTTGAACTGAATCTTTAATTTTAATAGTTGCTTTTCAAATTTTAATATTTGAGTTTAATTGATCAAGATTTAGACTCTCACAAACTTGAGAAAACCATCCCTATTCTCCAGAACTCTCCCATGTTTTTTTTTTTTAAATATCATGTTTAATTGTTCATTTGACAGCTATAGTATTTATATAGTATAAGTTCGGATATAAAAGTGAGTCAATGGCAACCACACTTAAAGTGTGAGAATTGGGAGCAACTCTTGAATTCTTGAGAGTTTGATCCTTGTTATTGAGTCCTTGGCAACATAACAGATGCTGTGGCAGGTCAGTCAACTACATTGAATTTTAGGAGGAATGGTAGGTTAAGCAAGCTTTGTCTTCCCCATTTTGTTATATAATGAAAAGAAAGGCTTCTTCACTATAAAATTTTGAACCTGATTCAATTTAGAAGCTAAATTTTTTTTGATGAATCAAAATGAGAAAAAAGAAAATTTTATTTTCAATGCAAAATTATTGAGATCTCGACTATATGTTAAAAATAAATTTTGGCATAATTTATCCATCTCGTCCAACCCGTGGGGTTGGATAAATTATTTCTTATAAAACAAGCTCAAAAGCTTTTAAGGCGCTTTGTGCAAAGTTCAAGGCATAGATCTCAAGTAAGGAATACGATTCAAACTTACATTTAGGGGTGTTTGAGTAGGGGAAAAATTTTTTCTCTATAAGATTATTTATACATTTTTATATATTAATATTACAATAAAAGAAAAAAAAGTGATATTTTTATAATTCATTTTCTTAATACAATACTTAATTCATAAATTTTTCTTTTCATACTTTTTGAAAAGAAAAAGTTTTTCCTAATATTTCTTATATAAGACTCATTTGATAATTTTTTTTACCAATTTTTTCTATTCTAATTTTTTACTAAATATAAAAAATTAATAATCTGACAAAATTTCACTTAAAAACTTATTAACTTTTTATACAATATTTTTTTTTAATTTCTTTCTTTGTAAAAATTTTTTATAATAAAGTTGACCCCTTAATTAAATACGGTCTTATGGCTTATTTGGTTTTAAGATAGTTTTATTGGGAGAGTCTTTATTATTATTTTCTTTTAGAACAAGTTTACAAATAATTCTAACATTTTATAGGGGAGGGGGAAAAGTCATTACAAAAATTTGAACATCAAATACAAGGGTGTTCTTGCTTAAAAGATAAGTGACAAATCACTTAAAAGATAAGTGATAAATCACTTAGTCAAAACATACAAAACGGAAAAGTCTTTATTATTGAAGTTATTGGAATACAAAAAATTATAAATTATGTGTAGTTAGTAATTTTAGACTCAATTATGGCCACAGAAGAGAATGTTAAAGTCACACAAAAGAAAAAAATTTTAGTTGTAGGTACTCTTCTACCTCCTGTCTTCTCCGATTCTAAGAAATCACCAGATCAAACAAAAAATAGAAAATACTACAGTAGAAATTTCAAAGCTAAGCAAAGGGAAAAGAGATACCCATAAAAGCACCGATCGAGCACAAGAATAATACAACCCAATGATCAATATCCTACTTGAAACATGAAAATTTTAGTGCATTCAAACAAAAATTCGAAAAAAAAAAAGAAAAAGGCAACTGTGTAGGGATTGTAAGTTGTTACGGCTTGCTTTGCCTATCCGATATTACGATATTAAAATATATCAATAGAAATTAATGAGTATTAAGTAATATATCAGACATCTTTCTCATACTTTATCAATATGAAATTTACCTAAGAATGTTATGGATTGAGTGAGTTTCTCTGTGGTAAAGGGACTTACCTTTGCTGCATTTTGAGAGATAAATGAGAAACCAAGATACTATCAGTCGAAATTCCCCTTTATTCACAAAAGAATGAAAATTTTTTCAGAAGAAGAAGAAATTTGACAATTTTGAAGCATATGATTTTGAAACATTGATCTAGTGAGATAAAATATATGAAGCATGCTTATGATCACTAACAATAATATTATAATTATTAAAATTATAAAATATTATTTTAAAAATACTAATTTTGTTTAATTTAATTGATAAAAATGACTAATAATTATAATTATTAATTAATAGTTTTCAATACTATTTAAAAAAGGTTAAAACCCTGTTTTGACTCATCTACTTTGAAAAAAGTTCTTTATTAGTCCTTTTACTTAAGAAAACCCCTTTTTATTCTTCAAATTTTGTTATCCAACTCCTTTTTAGTCTCTTTGTTACTTTTTACATACATGGCACATTAGATGACAAAAAATTTACAGTAGAGGGACTAAAAAATGCATTTTTTGGTATCTCTATTTAAAAAAGGTCCATTTTTAGTCCTTTTATTTTGAAATTTTTATTATTTAACGTATTATGTATGCAAAAAGATAACAGATAAACTAAAAAAGAGTCGGCTAATAAATTTTAGGGACTAAAATGGGGCTTTCTTTAAGTAGAGAGATTAAAAAGAGACTTTTTATTAAAGTGAGGGATCAAAATGAGATTTTAACCCTTAAAGAAAAAAAAAAAAAAAGGAAATTTTGGTAGCCTTAATAAAATTAATGGTGCAATAACCACACCCTAAAACATGAGAATACAAGAAAAGGAAATTACAATTTTTTTTTTTTAATTTTAAATTGCATAACAAGAAATAATCCTTTTCCAAATGTCATTTTCTTTTGTCTTTAACAAGCTAAGGTGATTATGCACATGCTACACATAACAAATTCCATTAAAATGTGTTATTGGTTACGAAAAAAGGATATTAAAATGTGTTCTTATTTATCACTTAGGCATAAATGATGTCCTTAATTGTACTTAGTAGAAGATAGTATCATCAGTTACATAACTAGTCTATTTTCTCTCCCCCCATTTGAAACTTTAAGCTGCAGCTCGGTTCGGCCTTTTATCTTGGGCATCTTGGCCTCTTGACACAAGATGGATCACAACTTGGAAGCCCATCTTAAATTGTGAAAAAGAACAATAATATTTTAAAGGGCCCAACCGGGTTCGAACCGGTGACCTCTTGATCTGCAGTCAAATGCTCTACCACTGAGCTATGGACCCTTTGCGGCAGGGTGCGCTCTATATTAATTATTTATAAAAGAACACAGATGCCCTAGTGCCGTGAAGCACCGCTCACTCTCCATCTCAACACAATCTGAATCATCTGAATCACGAAGCTCAATAAAACAGGAAATATAACTGCGTTTAAGCTTTTCTCGAAGAATAAGGTTGTTTTTTTGGTTTTATCGGCTTTAATTTTCGTCTTTCGTCACGTTTTGGTTACTCAATCGAAACAAAATTTCTGCGTTTTAATTCTGTGAGAATTCAAAATGATGATTGTTTTGGTTAATTTGTTATGATTGCACGAAATAGCTCAGACGATAAACGGAATAACACGGCGGGACCAACAGCAAACTCCAACCGAAATACCTACAAGATCCAATGTTGGATTTCGCATAGATACTTCAATTCTAAGTCAGTACATAGAGAGGTTTTTAGTAGGGGTAGGCTACTCAACTAGGTAGAATAAGATATGATAAATATATGTTGGCTGTAGTCGTCGAGAGAATATTTATAACCCTTTTCCACGTGGCAAATTTCTCTTTACCAATTTTAAGCCATCGTAATATATT